CCAAAAGTCTTGGCACCGTCGTTGTAGACATAAGAGAAATAATTGTTTTATATTTATTTCTCACAAAACGAATGTGGCACCCGTTCGGCCCACTTATGTGCTTTTCAAATGCATTGCTAATAAATACTTGTTGAGCTGTAGATAGTATACATAATCTTTATGTTGATGTCGGTTGTGTTGCTTCCTCACGATTTCCGTATGCAGCGTTTCAAATAATAAGTAAATAAATAAAACAGGCGTTAATCGGCAGAAAGCATTGCAATGCATTCCTTATTGACTAATTTAACGACTAACAGTAATTTGTCAAGTTGTTTTTCGAGGAGCTAGAAACCTAATTAGCTTTGTGGTCCATTGGCTTGTGAGTTGATGGCTGTCGTCGAACGACTACAAGCTGTGGAATTGGCTTGCGTGGTTGCCATCTTGAGTAATGAGATTCAAGAACTGAAAAAAATGTGACAAAGCTGTACTTCTTCAGTGTAAAAATGTGGAAATACCCATCCCTTGGAAAGAAAACACGGCGCTCATTGCTTCGGGAGGTGGAGTGGGGGAGCAGGGCCAAAAGGTGGATGAAGCTCTGACTAAGCTCATGGAGGGTGAGGAACGCCAGAGAGAACACAAAGTGCTCATGTGGTCCTCCTCAGAATCCCTAACCTTTCCTAAGGGTTATGGTTAGTCCCAAGTTCTTCAAAAAAGCCCACTTACTCGAGTGTCCCCTCTCCCTACCCCAACGACATGAGCGCAGGAAACACATTACTAAACCATACAAATCGATCGTTAATCGTCTCATCGTGTGTTATGAATCGATCAACTTCGTTGATGCTGCTCTCTCCATATACTCTGCAAACCGTTCATGAATTTCATGCAGTTAGTCTATTCCTTACCATATATGAAATTCGGACCTCTGCTCTTCCGCTATCTTGCAAGCTTGTAGTCTGTATTGAAAGGGAGCCTCGTATTTGTGTCATGTACTTACGAAGCGTTCTTTTAATAGAGGCCACGCGTTACTAAGTATATTTAATATTTACACTGTTTCCCGCGGCTGGGCCTGTCGTAATTGCGGACGCGATATCACACGTGGCGATTGCGTTGAAAAATCGAATCGCATGTGCGTTTTAAAATTCGCGGTATTTGCGAAGGGCATACAGTTATGTTTAAAAATGTTGTTATGTTAAATAAAGATATGCTGAATAAAAACAGTGTGGACAATGGTACTTCTACACACTGCATTGCTCACTTATGGTCTTTTTCATCTGCTATCCAATGTCGTGTAACCCA